ATTAAGCCCAATTTCGTCTGGACCTGAGGTGGGCTTAATAATCGGCGACTATTATATTTAAGTTGGTGTCACTAGAATTAATAAGAAGACATTTCGATCCCTGGGACAACACCTTCATTCGCCTGACGTTTCAACATCCGTCGCGGATTCTCCTTTAGAAACCTGAGCACAAAGCAGTAGCAGAAAGGTGTAACACATGCACAGGAAGTTGCTGTTCTTAAAGGGCAGAGTCATTACTGAACACTTTTGACAAATAACGACAATTAGCGATAATTGTCCTCTTGTGTGTTGATTGCTTGATTACCGGCATACTGACCCCGACTTGGTGAACTTTCATCACGTTTGGGTAAGTCGGAAGGGATGATTACCCGACGATGTGGTTCCTGGATGTTGGTGTAAGACGATGCAGTGGCCTGTGCGTTCCCCAAGGGACAACTTCACTTAGACAACTTGAGCCTTAGCACCGAATATGGATTGAGCAAGTCGTTGCACTTGTTTATTGACTGAGGGCCTGTGAACGATGACTCAAGTAACCTTCGGCTCACAGGATTGTCACCTCTTGCTAGAATTTCAGCATCATCAAGCTTATGTGTGTGGCAGGGTCTCGTCGAATACACGCCAACTCGACATCATTTCGCCGCACTTCTGTCGCGTATTCGGCGATTCGCGTCTTCAGAAGCCTGCCAATTTCTCTGACGTAGCTGCTTTGTCCACGATTGCACCACATTCTTTAGACTACTTCGAATATCTTTTGCCGTGGCAGTGGGTATTTTGGTCTCATTATACGACGCCTTAAAGTTGCTTCCGGCATATGCGCGACTCAAACTGCAAGTGGTGCGAGACGGTGGCCGACGGCCTGAGATACTTTTTTGATGTACGCGATCGTTCAGTGGAGTTTTTGGTCATCTGCATCCTCCATTTATGCCTGATACTTCTGGCTATGCAAAAGCTCAGTATATTCCTGAAGAGAGAGGGGGAGCCAGTTCATTGCGCGTGTTGGTGGACTCCGACAGCTCGTGGCTGAAGCGATTGTCAACTTTTACGAGGATTTCGGTCCCGTGAAAATTAGAAAATATGGCCGTCTCCCCTCGTGAGGCGCCGTAACCTAAGAGCTACCGTCAGCTCTACTCCACACTTCCACCGCGTGCTTGACTAGACACACCAAGACAATGCACTTCTTGTTCCCGCGTTAGCTTCTTCCTCCTTCGATTTGATTTCTGCATTCATATAACAAGCTACCACGACTTCGCCGTGAACTTTACGCCGTTTTACCTGTTTTTATTGGTTCCTGGAGTTTTTTTTAAGTATGCTCTTCTCTTCCGGCATTCCCAAGGGAAGAGGCTGCTGTCACCCAGTCGGGTGGTCGTACTTATTTGCGCTTGCCACTGTTGGTTTTAGTTAAACATGCATCTTACCCTCCTGTCATTCTTAACATTCTCATCTTTAGAAGAAGAAGAAGATGCGATCACTGGAACGGGATTTTTATTTTCCTGACGTTCCGGATTCCCTCAAGAATCTTTAATCATAGGTAATTGTAGGAAAGTCGGAGCCATGCACAGATAAGGGTGATACATGCACAGGTTGCACGGTATTTATTGTTTGTAGCGGTCATGCGCCTGCGTGCCATAATTCTCAGTTCCCGTAGCCACCGCCTGAGGTCCTTATTGGTGCGGTGATGGCTCATTAATTGCCACAGTTTAATTGCCAGCATCGGATGCGGGCTTGATAAATGCAAGACAATTATGCTCGCTGTCGTCAGAGCTGTTGTTGCGCCTGGTCCTTCCTACGTGACTGGGAACGCCAAATCGTTAGGTTTGTTGGTGGACTGGGGGCCTGAGAGCCATGGCTCGAACAGCTCGCGGCTCAGGTAGTTGTCACTTCTTGCGAGGATTTT